GAATTGGGGGCCTCGGTCCGAGATGATCTTGTCATAGAGTCCGAAGCGCATGAACACTTTCTTGAAGAAAAGTTCGGCTACTCCTTCCGCTGTGATGGTTTTTCTGCAAGGGCAGAGAATTACCCCCTTCGTAAGCCCATGGTCTACCACGACCATGACAGAATCGTAGCCGGCGCTCTCGGGGAGGTCGGTGATTAAATCAACCGAGACCTGAGCGAAGGGCCGGAGGGCCGAGGAGGGTATCGGGGTGAGGGGAGGTGTCGTGGGATGGGTGTTAACCTTCATCTGCTGGCACATGGCGCAGCCATCGACGTACTTCCTAACGAAGGAGCCCATTCCGGGCCACCAGTAGGATTTCTTGACGTTCCATTCGGTACCGGAACGCCCGGGGTGCCCGGCGGTTGGGTGATCGTGATGTAGAGACAACACGCGATGCCGGAGGTCGGGGGGAACGTAGGCACGATCCTTATAGAAGAGAACACCATCGGTGAACCTCCAATCGGAAAGTGCAGACTTCATGGGGGGTGCGCACACCCCGGAAAGGGCGTCCAAGGCTGTTTTCACAGTCTGGTCGGAGGGGTTATCAGAGAGTCGTTGAAACTCGTCTGCGAGTTCAGCGTCGATTAGACGGGTGAACAGGGTGTCGGGGAGGAGGATACGATCCTCGTTATCCTGACCAGCTATAGCGTGGTCCGGACGGCGGGACAAGGCATCCGGTGCAGCGAGCTTTGTTCCAGGAACATGGTGAAGTTCCAGATCAAAGTTGGTGAGCGTGAGGTGCCACCGGGCCTGTCGTCGGGTGAGTCGTTGCGCGGAGCGGAAATAGATCAGGTTCTTGTGATCCGTGAAGACAATGACTGGGTGAGGGTTTCCTTCGAGGAAGTGCCTCCAAGCCTGAAGGGCTCGGATGATGGCAAGGAGTTCTCGGTCGTAGATCTCGTAGTTCCGTTCGGCCGCGTTGAGGGACTGGGAGAGATAGCCGCAGGGGTGGTAATCCCCATTGCTATCCGTCTGGAGCAAGACTGCTCCGGTCGCGAAGAGCGAGGCGTCAGTTGCAAGTGCAAACTGTCGCGAGGAGTCAGGGTTCCGCAGAACCGGTTCGGTGGTGAAAAGCTTCTTCAGATGCTGGAATGAAGCCTCGGTAGAATCGGACCAAGAGAAGGGTATCTCCTTCTTGGTTAGATCGAGGAGAGGGCGTGCGATGTCGGAGTAGTGGGGAATGAAATGACGGTAGAAGTTGCAGAATCCAAGAAAGGACCGTACGTCCTTGACCGAAGAGGGTTGTTGCCATTCGCTGATGCCTTTCAGCTTGGCAGTGTCCATAGCGACCTGTCCAGGTCGAATGATCATACCGAGGTACTCGACTTCTTGAGAGTCGAAAGTACATTTCTCGGGTTTGAGGAAGAGAGACTCTTTGCGGAGTTTCTCCAACACTCGGCGGGTCCTTTGCCGGTGTTCGTCCAGGTTATCTGAAAAGATCAGGATGTCGTCCATATAGACGATTAACCATCCTTCGTTCAGTTCTTCTGAAAATGTCTGATTCATGTAAGCTTGGAAGGTGGCAGGTGAATTGCACAATCCGAAAAACATTACCTTGGGCTCGAAGAGCCCATATGAGGTGGAGAACGCGGCTTTCCACCTGTCGTCGGGATGAATGAGGATATTGTTATATCCTGATCGTACGTCGACCTTTGTGAACCATTGCGCCTTGTTGAGTTTCGCAAGCAAGGGAGGTATCAAAGGGAGTGGGTACGCGTTCTTGATCGTCCATTCGTTGATGTATCGGTAGTCCTGGCAGGGGCGGAGAGAACCGTCCTTCTTGCCGACAAAGAAGAATCCGGCAGCTTGAGGAGACTTCGAGGGTTGGATGAAATCTTTGGCGAGGTGTTCGTCCAAAAATGCTTTGACAGCGTCGGTTTCCTTCGGTGAGAGCGGGTAGGCTCGAGAAGACTTCGGAATGAAGCCTTCCTTCGTTTCGATTTTGTGGTCTACTCCCGGTCGTGAGGGAGGGAGTTTGTTTAGACCGTCCTTTGCGAAGATGTCAGCAAAATCATGAAGATAGGAAGGTACCAGTTCTTCAAATGATTTCTTCTTCTTCTCCTGCGCGTCCTCCATAGCAAATTCTTGAGCTTTGTTGGAGGTCTTCATGTAGTCCTGCTGAGAAGCGAGGATCCAGAGGTTCCGGAGAGGTTTTGCTCGTCTATGGAGAGCTTTCCGGATTTCGTTCTTCGAGGTCCCGTCCTTGGTGAGCGGAGTGTCGAAAGAGATGTTCTCGATGATCCGGACGGATGTTCCGTCCGAAGCATATTCCACTAGAACTTCATCGTCAGTGAGGGGATAAGTGGAGATCTCCTTAACTTTATCAGCAAGATGGGTCTGTCCGACCCAGACATCGTCCATGGTATTGAAGTCGGTGTCTTCAAAGGGCACGATGATTGGCGCCGTTTTCTTCTTGTTACGCTTCTTGCGTTTCTTGATTTCTTCGAGGCAATGTTGAGTGCCTTTGGGGAGTCGCTTGAGGGGCGAAAAGTCCTCGTCGTCGAGTTCTTCTAGGACAGCCTTTTCTCCACGAAAGAGATATGGCTTGGCCTTGCTTTCTCGCCGGGAGGCGTTGAGTTCCCTCTCCACCTCCTTTGACCTATTGGTCGCAGGCAGGGAGATCGTGTTGTCCTTCCAGTCAATATTGGGCATCATGGCACTAAGCCAAGGTTTTCCAAAAAGTAGATCATCATGCTTGGAAAGTTTCGTTACGTTGAACTTTCCATACATAAGTCTCCGATCGAGACGAATGAATAGCATGCAGTATTGGGTTACCTGTCCTGCCGAGGACGGGCTTCCGTCTACTGTGGTGATCCGGAAGGGTTTCTTGAGTAGGTGGGTCCGGATCCCATTTCGCTTGACGAAGTCATAGCTAATGAAGGTCCCACCTGCCCCTGAGTCGATGATGGCGGTCGACTGAACGGTTTTGGCACTGCAAGAAGAGAAAAGTGTCACCGGGACACGAAACTCGTTGGATTTACCAACAGCTTTAGTATACAATGCGCAGATAGAGGGAATTGACCGTTCGACAAGCCCTCTCTTTAAAAATCCTTTCTTTTGACAAGGTTGACTTCCATGTCTTCCTCGTCAGAAGACTCGTCAAGCTGGCGGATGCCAGACTTGCTTGGCTTCTTGCCTTTGTCTTCTTCGTCATTCTTGTCTCCTCGGCGTACCTTCGGGTGGAACCGGGAGTCGTTTGCTCGATGGCCCTTCTCCTTGCATTTGAAGCAAAGGCCTTTATCGAAGCACTTCTGTCGTTCCTCAGGCGTGAGGGAACGATCAACGTCCATAGCATCAGGATCGCGTTGGCGGACCTGAGGCTTGGGGACGTGCCGGTGCCCGGAAGGGCGTACCGATCTGTTGTTGGACACAACTGCTCTTGATCGCTTGTAGTTGGCTTCCAACTGTGTCGCGGCAGTGTACCATTTATCGATGGTGTTGGGAACGACCTCCTTCGTGTAGATGGCGGTTCGAAGCCCTGGTTTCAACCCTCGTTCGAAGAAGTGGATGAGGGCGACGTCCTGCTTGAGACTAGCAGTGGACGACAGGGTTTTGAACGTCGCGATGTAGGGCATCACGTCGCCAGTTTGGGTCAAACCATGAAGCTTGGTTAGAGCCTCAGTCATCCGGTCGACCGGGTGGAAGGATTCGGTGAAAGCCTTCCTGAAGTCCTTCCAGCTACCGAAGTCGACGGGAGTTTTGTCGAAGGCTGCTCGGTAGAAGGTGTCCGCCCAGACGCGGGCGTCTCCATCGTTCATATACTGGAGTGCAACAGCGACCTTGGTTTGGTCGGAGCTGTAGATCGTCGAGTTGATGAGGAAGTATGTCTCCACCGAGTACATCCAGCGCTCGGCATCATCGATGTTTCCATCATAGTTCTGTGGTACTCCAGCCTTTAGTTCAGGCCTGGATACGACCACTGTCGGTTGTGGGGTGGGGCCTCCGGACATTCTTGTTCCAGGGTTCGAGTTGAGGTTACCGTACGGTTGTTCGTCGGGAAACTCGTCGGAGGACGTATGGTCTTCTTCCGATTCTTCTTCTTCGGAGTCCGGAGTGTTGGGGTCTCGTTCCCAAGGGTACTTCGGGATCCAGGTAGTCGTGGTGTCTGTCGGTTAATGGCCGTGCGGATGGCAGGGCGCAAAAAAAGGTAACTTGAATCTTTTGTTACGCACTCAAATAGGTCTGTTTATGCGGAGCCCTAAGAGGGGCGTCGTCCGCTAACGTTCGTGACGTAACCGGAAGGGTCCGGTGTAGCGACTGAGACTGGCGACGTCGAGTCAGCAGATATCAGAGACGCGCGTGTCACGTGACTTCTAAGACAGATGTCTTCAAAGTCACTGACGTTCTCAAAGTAAGGACAGTCTTGTCCGAACGATGAGGTGGTCGATCGAGGTAGACTTAGGCGCGATGAGCACCTAAGAAAAGATACTAGAGACTGAAGCTGAGGGGGCTTCAGAGGGAAGTATGTTCGAGGGAAGATTGAGTAGATTCAAGTTAGGGAATCTAGTACAGAGTGACCGACTACTTATACTAAGTGGAAAGGGTTAAGGGCAAGGCTACCGTACTGTAGGTAAGGGCAAAGGGGAAACGGAAATGGTATAGGTACGCTGGTAGCAGAGCCTGATTAGTGATGTAAGGTCGAATGCGGAATGAGACCGAGAAACGTTGGAACGATCCAACGGTAAATGATACAATGTGCATCATGCACGAGTCAAAGGAAAGATAAGACAAGATAAGGAAAGCCACATTGGTGGCACGAGTCAGAACGAGTCATAGCCCGAAGGCACGTGCGCACGTTGGTGCGATAGGAGGGGGATGAGGGACGGGAACGGTCCTGAGGATCCGGTCAACGGATAGTCGGTAGAGAAGTGCGAGCCGGAGGCATACGAGGGCGAGGACGAAGGGGAAAAATGATAGGGGGGCCATGTAGCCGATGTTACTTGTAACAGCAATGCTCCAGGGTCTCGATGACTTGGGGTCTCTCGATTGACGATAACTTCCAATCCAGAAAACTCTGAGGGCCAGACAATGTGATCTGAAGTGCAAACCATATCCTTCATATTAGCAACTGATTCCACGCCGGCCTGATATTGATCTGGCGCAATAACACTGGTGATAGCGGACCACAAATGTTCAGCTACCGTTATTTCGGACAACCACTCTCGGACCGCAGGTAAAGAAAGAGTGCCTGATTGGTACAAGTCATCCTGAAGCTGCTAGCCCATTTAAGTTAGTTCCATATCACAGCAAGTATATTAATATAAAGTTACCTCATGACGTTGCATGAATCCTCCGGGGCATAAGGTCACCCTTCCTACTCCAAACTCTCCCCCACCTGAAGGCATGACAAATCCTTGAGAACGCCAAGGCTGCTTTGCCTTCTGAGTTGGCTTGGGCAAAGACTGATCTAAGGCAGGTCTCAGCAATTTGATGGACTGGTTGACACGATCCTAATTATAACTGATTAAAAGAACTTAAACTGTATTAATCAGACTCGTACCATTCTATCAGGCACCATGATTTCTGGCAAATACCAAGCGAGAATCCTTCCATGCCTGTCAACAAATGTTGCCAGCTCTGATATTGAACCAAATGAAGGACAGTGGAAATATTTTGCTAGCTTATGTCTCTGGCTGTCAGCATGCGATGGGTGGGACACCTTGGCACTATCTGCAAGCCGATCTACATCTAAATCTGCCCGCACTATGGCAACAAAATGAATGACAGACCCCCCAACCATCAAATCAACATTCACGGGGATTAACTACAGCATAGGCTATCACGAACGCAGCTCTGGTAAGTTCAATCTCCGTAATGACATTTGCCGTGACATTGCTACCAGTACTGGACAGTAAGTCCTGCCACTTGGCCCACAATCTGGTCCTAAAATTTCAGCTGTTCAGTTTTGCCGGACAGTGGCATGAGACTCCCTTACCTGGCTCTTTGAAGCAAATTGTCATTGATTTTGTCACCTATCAGCAACTCATACGGCGATGAATCACGGAGTAGGTCATCTACATGCCCATGGAGGATCTTGGACAGAATTGTTACAGCAGGATCTGCCATTTGTCAGTGGTTGAAGTTTGGAAAAACAGACATTGAACGACGGAATGATAAATTTTTCAACCACAGATGATCTAGACTATAAATGGTTTTCAATTGAAGTCGCGATGTGGATCAAAAGACTTTGAAAGATCCAAATCGGGATAGCTTCTAAATTTGGGTGAAATTCAACGCCTACACTGTGAGGCTGTCAGACAGAATACACCAAGATCCCCCATTTCTTGGTGGTTGGAGTATTGAGAACAGAATTGAAATAGCAGAATGGGAAAATTTCTAACCAGGTGGTGTAGACTATATATGGTTTTTAAGGTTTTTGATTTACAACGTGCGATGCGGAGCAAAAGTGGAAGATCCAGATCAGGATAACTTCTAAACTGGACAGGGCCATACTATATGATTTGTGGCAACATACCATCCAAGCAGAGGCCTTTATTATGAAAGAAACAGATGAGAAACAGCAGTCTCAACTTAAGTTACATCTTGTCTTTTAAATTCAAGCTTTATGCTGATGGCAAGTAATAAACCAGTATGCTGCTCTGATTGTCTTCTAACTGAATATCAAATCTTCAGCTGTGGCTGGATTCAGTTAGAAGACAATCAGAGTAAGGGGTGAGGCACAATTGCTCTTCTCCTCAGCTTAGGTGAAATACCTGAGATACATCCCTTACTCTGATTGTCTTCTAACTGAATCCAGCCACAGCTGAAGATTTGATATTCAGTTAGAAGACAATCAGAGCAAGGGGTGAGGCGCAATTGCTACTTGCCAAAAGCCTCATCCCTTGCTCCGATTGCCTTCTAATTGAATCCAGCCTACATGCAGCTGGTATCTCAGGTATTTCACCTGAGTTGAGGAGAAGAGCAATCGTGTCTCACCCCTTACTCCGATTGTCTGAATACCAAATCTTCAGCTGCGGCTGGATTCAGTTAAAAGAAAGACAATCAGAGTCAGGGATGAGACGCAATTGCTCTTCTCCTCAGCTCAAGTGAAATACCTGAGATACCAGCTGCATGTAGGCTGGATTCAGTTAGAAGGCAATCGGAGTAAGAAATATATCTCAGGTATTTCACCTGAGCTGAGGAGAAGAGCAATTGTGCCTCACCCCTTACTCTGATTGTCTTCTAACTGAATATCAAATCTTCAGCTGTGACTGGATTCAGTTAGAAGACAATCAGAGTAATGGATGAGGCTTTGGCAAGGCCCATAGCATGTATCTCAGGTATTTCACTTGAGTTGAGGAGAAGAGCAATTGCGTCTCACCTCTTACTCTGATTGTCTGCTAGCTGAATCCAGCTGCAGCTGCATCTATTCTGTCATGTTCAAGACTAAAGGTGAGCGCACTGAGGGTACTCTCAAGCTCACCCCTATTTCAACAATATGCCGCGGTGAAAATTGGTGGACATTCTAAGTTACTGCATTCGGGGGTCACGTGACTTTTTCGCACGAACAAGGAACCTGGCATCACGATTTCGTTGCAAATTAAAAAAACTAAGTTACATTTGGCATCATTGAATTGAAGAAAAAATAACAGAGCGCAAAAATCAATACAAGGCTGCCGCAGAGGGGCCCTCTCTGCGACAGTCTAGTACTGTCATAATACAGTAATAAAAAGTATGATAAAAAAAGGAATAGCTAACTATATAACATAATCTGTGAACAGCGCAATCAGTATTTGCAAAGAGAATATCAAACAGGTTACCTTTGAGTATCGGAGCAAGCCAAAAGAAACATATCTGTAAGCTGTGGTCATTGTTTTGAGAAGAGAGAGCAATGGGAAGTACCTTATGGTGGAGTAGGTGTCATCCTTCCAGAGAAAATACAATACAAGAATGATGGGAGGAG